AATATTTTCGCATTGCGCACGCACACTGCCCAAGATTTGTCATTCAAGCTTACGTGAAGAGCCTCTGCGACATCCACCGAATTCCCTACCATCCCCATCTGCGGTCGCAATTTTCTGTGGCCTACGACCTCTACCTCGACCTTCGTCGTCGTGTGCCGAACGCTTAGTTTTACAACGTCTAAATCATGAAGGGGCAGGCTGGCGGATTCAGAACGACTGTGCTGCATGCGGGTACAAGCTTCAAGGGGAGCCGGAGCTTCTGTACGACCGCCTGCTTACATTCGACGGGAACAACTCATTGAAGCGTGTGGATGGCAACCTTCCAAGAAGCCAACGAGCCGACAGGCGGGATGGGGGGGAGAGCTATTTCTTATCGATGACCGACATCGATTTATGGAAAAAGAAAAGCACCAAATCGCCAGCTGTTCCCGTACCGCCACCCTCCACGCCCAACGGTCCAAACCCATGTTAAGACCGTTGGCATAATATGTCGGACCAGTTGACCTCGAAAACGTGGGCTGTATTTGACGAAACAGGAATCTTCCTGTGTCTTTGTCGGCATGGGTTTACGGTGCTCATTGCACCAATGGTCAAAAGTGAGGAACAGTATGTTTCTCAGCCTTTCCAGCTCGATTCATTGCTGACGTCGTTTAGATCCAAGTACCCGCTTGCTGTCGTCAATGAGTTGGCGAAATACATCGAAAACAAGAACGGCGCTGGGCTATGATTGCGGCTGCAGCTTGGAGACGACAATTGCTCAGAGTGGACTGAGCGCCGAGGCAAAAAGCCTATTCAAATGTCTTGTTGGGACATTCCATAGGCACGCGCATAATCGCATCTGTCAACTTGGGCACCTTGCAACATATTTGAAGGGGGTGGGGCTGGAGGATTTCGAGGGGTGTGAAAGAGCATTTTCGTGCTCAAATTCACTCTCTAACGCCTGTCGATATGCAACGCGATTCCATTGGCGGCAGGAAATAACGACTTACTTCAAACATATTGACGACACAGAAACTTATGCGAACATCAGTATGTCCCTCATTTCGCAATCTCGGTGGCATTAACCTGTGGTTAGGTACGTTCCTTTGCAAGAACTATGACCAAGCGCTGGACATCTTGAGCGGTGAATCGGACTTGCGGGATGCAATGAGACTGCAGGGCATCGCAAGCTACGACAAATTCAAAACAGCGCTTGCGAATGAAAAAGAGTTTTTGCTTAAACTACAAGCGAGCGCGAAGTCGAAGGAGGAGACCGGTTCGATGGAATATCTTCGCAAACTACGGAGCTTGGAGATGAGCAAGTAAGTTCTAGGCACTGTTGACTTGTCTCCATCTCATATATATTAGAGAGAAACTTCGAACTCTGAAGAGGGAGAAGAGGGCTGCAAATGCTCCAGATGCACCCTACCGTCAATCCAACTCAGCACTCGATATCAAAATCCGCCATGCTCGAGAATGAATTGATTGCGACAGTGAAGTACTTGCCGAAATCGAGGAGGAGCTCAAAATTCAGACCCGATGGACATCTACTTTACCCGAGTGGGCCGAGGCCGTAGATGAAGTTCGACGATTTGAGTATCGCAAGGCAGTGGACGCAATGGAGCTTCTGGTGGTGCAGCGTCTTCTAGAGCTTACGAAGGTCAATCAGTCTGGAACTGGTCCGCTTTCTCCATTCCATCTTGATCAGCTGGCTAACGTTGTCCGACAGCATATAAGCATCGTAAACATATCTCGAAGTCGTTGCAAACTCGATCAACTGCAGTCCAAAATGCAGTGGATCGCTATAACGTCGCCGCTCAAGCTATGGTTCCGGCGCGACCCCAACTCTCGTGGAAGGCTGTAGTGGAGTATGCCTTTCTCTCCGACTTTGATTTACTGCGGGACGACACAAACTCCCTCGAAAACGAAAAATGGGCAAAGCCAACGTTTAGGCTCTTGATGGACCGCTACTTCAAAATGGAACGAGCTTGGGAGGAAATCGAGCGACTTAATCTTGAAATACGACGGGTCATTACCTGGATCCGAGATGAAAGTCGTCTGTTACGGGAATACAAGGCAGCACTACGGGAGGAGGGAAATCTCATCTTGGCCACGCAAGTCAGGATGTATGGTCAACGACGAAGCATTTATGATGCAACACATCTCCAGAGGTTTCGCCAACTTGCTCGAAAACATGGTACCCGTTTTACAGGAAGCCTTCGGCCAGGTCGAGCAAAAGGGCAGTCAGAGGAAAACCCAGTAGATGCGGAAGCTGTTGGTGATGAGAACGATGATGAAATAGAAATGGAGGATGTCACTCAGCAAGCTGACATGGAGGAGATAGAGGATGATGACCAGTTTGAGATGGCAGCAAGTGTAGCCTATAGAATTGCTATTTTGGGATTTGATGAGTCAGAGTGTGGAAACTTAGCAGAGTATATCTAGTCATCAAATATTCAATTTGTTTTCCTAGCTTTAGATTATAATAAAGTATAGATTACTCATAATAATTCATTCCTATACCTTCACTGATAAGCGGCAATGTGTCTGACTTGTACTTGAAAACTGTGAAAAAGATGTTAAAATAGTTAACTTTATTCATACCTTTAACCACAAATTATTCATTTCTATGGGAACCATGCAAATTTGTGTGGCTACACACTGTTACCCCGCCGGGTCAACACTGTGTATTGACAGTGATTGTTGGGACAAACAGGTGGGCTGTACTCATAAAACCTGGGGAAGGGCTCAAGGGTCACAAATGTCACACTTTTAAAAAAACCATTTTATTCATTTTTGGGTGTTAGATCATGGTATTGATGATGGAATTGATGGTATCGAGATAAAGTGATCAATGTGGAACAATTTTTGATGGACATCAGTACCATTGATAGCTATGTCAGGATACATCAATTTTTGCCTAATTAGGATGTATACCTTTGCCCTAGATCACAGGCCTACCTAGATGTTTATCCGGGTCTTCGGCCTGAAAGAATAGTGATCTGCCTTTCCATATCTGGTAATAGCTTAGTCATAGCTGTCAAACTCATTGAGATATTCACAATTGATTGAATGTCACATTTTTTGTCACAGTACTCCGGCCATGGCTGGCATGAGCTCCCCCAGGTTTTATGAGTATAGCCCTTCACCAGTTGTGACGGGGCGCTTACCAAGCGAGTCCCGGCACACGGGAGACCGAGGGCGGAAGGCCGGCGAGGTCGGACAACAAGGAGAACTGGCGTAAGTACTCTATTTGACCTCGGAAAAGCTAACTAATACAGAAAAACAGCTCCACCTATATAAGTATTTACAGGACTGATGTCATAGTGGAGAGTATGATAAAAGAATGAGTTCATTGTGGAGTAATGGCGCGCTCAAGCGCAACTCCGGCGGCATGCACAATCTTATCTTATCTCGGATCGCGTGATCCGCGATCCGGGGCCTTACATACGCCCTCCATATCTTTGCTTGGAAAGATATCCACGTGGTTTCCACTCGGAAACATTATCAGCACCATCCAGCACTGAATACACGGCAGACGACGCGTCGCCGATCGCTGACTCATACCACGTGATGAGATCAAACGCGTCATCGCGTAAGCGCTTCTTGTCCAGAACCACCACGACATCCGATGCGGAGTCTACTATGGTGAGTGAATTCGCGGTCGTCCCGACTCAGAACAGTTTCGCCCTCCGAATGGAGTCCAAAATGGTCTACTAGGACCGTCTGCACCGTGCGGACAAGCGCGTCATCGAGCGATTCAAAGAAGCGCGTGCGGCGGCGCAAATTCTTGGTGCCAAAGCCCAACGAAGCGGCTCTGTGGCGAGCGTACCACGCGGCGATGCGGAAGCGAGAGTCGGCCAGCTGCCGGGACTCAAGCAACACCTCAACGCCGTACCTCTCATCGCGCATGACAAGCTGCGACTCCGAGAGCCGAGCGAGCGCGAATCGGCTCGTTTGCTGGACGGCTCCTTCATCTCCTGGGTATGGCTGGGCATTCTGCAACGACAGCTCTGCGTTGAGGAGGAGGAAATTGCCAATGGGGTGCTCAGAGGCAGCGTCACCAGGTGCGTTGTCCACAAGCTCTGAAGATCCAGCTGAAAAATCATCACTCAGACTTTCAGTGGACTCTCCCTCGCCCTCCTGGACAACGACACCGTCGCTGAACAACTCCGATTCGACTTCATCGGCCCACGACAAGCCCACGGCGCCAACCGCCAACGTCTCCAGCACCTCTGTGCCTTACAGCATGATGACAGAGTAAAATCGCAGCAATGATGGGACAGACTAGCGGACCGGTAGCGGGTGCGACTCCCGCATGTTCCATTTTCATTGGCTGTTGGAATTGTTACATCTGGTGGAACATCAGAGGGTCGAGAGTTCGAACCCCGCACTTAGCAGAGTTTGCTGAGGTCCGATTACCTCATCAGGAGGGCGGATGTAAGGGTTGTGTGACCGCTTACAGCATGATGACAGAGTAAAATCGCAGCAATGATGGGACAGACTAGCGGACCGGTAGCGGGTGCGACTCCCGCATGTTCCATTTTCATTGGCTGTTGGAATTGTTACATCTGGTGGAACATCAGAGGGTCGAGAGTTCGAACCCCGCACTTAGCAGAGTTTGCTGAGGTCCGATTACCTCATCAGGAGGGCGGATGTAAGGGTTGTGTGACCGCTTACAGCATGATGACAGAGTAAAATCGCAGCAATGATGGGACAGACTAGCGGACCGGTAGCGGGTGCGACTCCCGCATGTTCCATTTTCATTGGCTGTTGGAATTGTTACATCTGGTGGAACATCAGAGGGTCGAGAGTTCGAACCCCCGCACTTAGCAGAGTTTGCTGAGGTCCGATTACCTCATCAGGAGGGCGGATGTAAGGGTTGTGTGACCGCTTACAGCATGATGACAGAGTAAAATCGCAGCAATGATGGGACAGACTAGCGGACCGGTAGCGGGTGCGACTCCCGCATGTTCCATTTTCATTGGCTGTTGGAATTGTTACATCTCATACAGCGCAGACTGGCGCTCCGAGAAGTCCACACCGTGAGCGCCAAAGCCCGGCGGCTTTCCCTTCACGGCGGACTTCATGGTGGACGTTGTGGGGCAGTCTCGGGCCAGATGCCCGATTTCTCCACAGGTAAAGCAAGCTCCTTTCGCGAGGAGCTCGTTCCGACGCTTTACAGACATACGGCGCTCTTTCAGCGCGTCTGGCTTCGTCGCAAGCTCGACCGACGCAGCGCGAAGCTGCTCATTCTGTGAGTCAGCCCGCGGCTTGTCGGACTCAACGCGCCCTCCGTGGCCTCGCCTACGGTTGCGGTGAGCGCTCTCACCGTCCCTCTGGGTGGCGTCTGACGATTTCTCGTCAGGCTTCGCCTTCTCATTGTCCAGGGCATCGGACGCGGGCGATTCCGGCTCAATACTGAGCAGGATCTCGGCGTCCTCAGCCGCTTGGACAACGTCGTCCCAGGGGGCGGTCTCGGGGTCGAGCCTTTGGCGGTACATCTCGCGCTGGATGTCCGGCTTCAAGGTGCGCCAATATTTGACCACCTTCTCCTGATCATCTGGCAGACCAATGATATTCCAGGTCGTTTCGAACTCAGCAGTGTATTCGATAACAGGTGCGTCTTTCTGCACCATCCGATTCAACTTGTCGCGCATCTTGATGCGGAAATTCATAGGGAAGCAAAACTCGAACAATCCCCAGAAGAAGTCGCGAAGTGAGTAGTTCTGCTCGTTCAAAACGACCTTCTGATCGTAGAATTTTGCAGCCTTGCCCTCAAGAAAGTGGGATAGGTAGAAAATCTGCTGCTCAGCAGGCACACGACCTGTATTCACATACGCGGTACCCTCCCGCACAAATTTCTTGTACTTGGCGGGATCGGGCGAACCGTCATACGCGGTCGGCTTAACCGGCTTCAACAGCATGGGCAGCGCAATGTCACGTCGGCGTGAGCCTAGACGCGCGACGATTCGGCGCGGCGTGGAGCAATGGCAGGCTGGCGCCGTCCTGGCCTAGGAAGTCCATCGAGGTCCGGTGAGTTGGCCTCCGCGTCGGAGCCAGAACTCGAAGGATCGTCAGATGGGTCTGGCGAGGGCGGGTTCCCAGGTGCTGCTGTTGCGGCGTTGATTGCGCGCTCAATAGTGCTCCCAGCAGCAAATCGGGGGCCACGCGATGGCCTCGCTGGCACCACGGTGTGTGCGCGAGTGCCCTTCACACGTGGTTCCGCGGGTACGCCCCGCAAAATACGCTCACGCGCAAAGCGCTCGGCACGACTAGCAAGTGGCTTCACTTGCTCCCCAGTTTTCCGGGATCAGGGCCCTTCCCCTTGTTGCGGGAAGGTCCAGCTGAAGGTGGGCGAACAGGCTTTGGGCTGATATGGCCAAGGTGCGTCGGTGACCGGACACTCTGATGTTCGGATGGGGACTCATACCCATCATCAAAGGATTGACGAGACTGCTCGTCAAACTCAATCAGTGGCGACGGCGACCTTGAAAATCGCGGGGCAGCACTCGCAGACTTGCGACTCGCAGCAAAGCGAGCCTCATCAGCCAGCAGCTGGTGCCGGCGCGCCAACAGGCTGAGCTCCTCAACACTCATGCCATCCATGGCAAGGTGAGTTGTTGACTCAGATTCAAACTGATGTATTGACGAATGTGCTACACTTGTAGGACGAATGACTGGGCTTCGACGCGCGCTCGACAAGCGCGTTGTCATACCAGCACTATCATCGTCAACCGGATCAAGATCCGCGACTGGCGTCCGGCGACCCCAATCGACATCGCCCGAAAGCGCAGGGAACTCAGCAAGCTGAGACTCGGCAAGCCGAGGACTGGCAAAGCCAGGAACACGCCCGGAGGCGGCACGCCGTGAGGCGGGGGCGAGAATTCGGCATAGCCGGGACACCGCGACCCATATCACTCACCAAGTGATGGTCGGCTCCACTTGTGGAGCGGGATGACGACAGGCGTGACGTCAAACGAGCAGGGGGCGTCGGGGCAGGAGCGCGACCGGTAGCCACAGCAAGACGGGTTCGATGGGTAGCCATGAGACGTCGGAGGTTGGTCAGGGCAACAGCAAGACGACAGGAAGGGTTGATCAGACCCTCGGAGTCAGTACAGACTGTAAACCAGTAGCGAGCAGTTCAAAATATGTGACGGGGCGCTTACCAAGCGAGTCCCGGCACACGGGAGACCGAGGGCGGAAGGCCGGCGAGGTCGGACAACAAGGAGAACTGGCGTAAGTACTCTATTTGACCTCGGAAAAGCTAACTAATACAGAAAAACAGCTCCACCTATATAAGTATTTACAGGACTGATGTCATAGTGGAGAGTATGATAAAAGAATGAGTTCATTGTGGAGTAATGGCGCGCTCAAGCGCAACTCCGGCGGCATGCACAATCTTATCTTATCTCGGATCGCGTGATCCGCGATCCGGGGCCTTACACCAGTAGCCACAGTTTTATTAGTAAAACTGAGTGCACATCCTAGTTTCCCTGACAGATTTCTGCAACTTAAACCCTGAACACACACACACACACACATATATATATATATACACAAACAATTAATGGATTAGTAGATTAATAGGGTTGAGATCTTTAATTGAACTCCTCCATTAGTTCACTTTCCCAGTGTATTAATGCTCTGAGAAATATAGCAAGCTATATTTCAATGACTTCACCATATAGATTATAATTATGACAAATTGAATAAAACCTCAACTTATTACCACAGCTTTCTCAAAAATAAATAAATAAGCAAATACAGCAATATCACTTCTCTTATGACTACCAATAGTATCTTAAGGAGTTGCCTCAATAAACCCGTCCCGCCCTTCAACTTGTCCAAGCTGAATACTGATCTCAAGTCCCTGCTTTATATCTTCATGTTGCACACCAGGGAACACATGTCCCATCCCACCTGCTGCTGCTGCTGCCATGATTGACCAGGGGTCATTTGGATCAAAGTGAGAGTGGCTTAGAGGTATGCCTCTATTACGGTATTGTGCCACAACCGCAATCATAATAGTGAGAAAGCCAAAAAGGAAAATGGGAATAAGAACAAGACTGCTGCTAACAGACTTGTATTCCCAGCCTAGAGTATCGACTATTGCATGGCCTGTAATATTGCGTATTCTGTCTGCAGTAAGATCACCTGTAGACTCAAGTGATATAGCAAGATTGGTTTTTATAATCTATCAGAATATCAAAATCAAAAAAGTCCAAAACTATAAAACCTGCTTACAGTAGCAGTCAGCTCAGCCATTCCACGGATATAAGCTTCCTATAAGATTATTAGAATACTTTCATATTTTTGAAAGTTGTTAATACTAACTAAAGTCTGTCTGAATAAATTCAAATTAATGTTGTCCAGATTGTCATCAAGAGAGTTCTTCCGTGAGATCACAGATAACAAAGTGTCCCCAATAATATGTGTATCAATTCCCTGTGCATAGAAAAATGCAGTATAGGTAGCATTGAATGCTGCATCAGCTATTGCACCTAGGCTGGTATTGGGAAGAGCTGGGCTAGTAGAATGGGTAGCCACAGCAAAGCCATCTGGGGCAGCTGTATAATTAGCTTGTGTGTCTCCAATTTCTGCAGACAATGTACACATAAAGGCCCCTGGATATCTTCCTTGACCATCTATAACCATATCTTAGGTTTATAATAAGTTGAAAGATATAATAATAAGAAATGATTTGACTTACTCAATATAGGCTCATTGGATGTTTCTCCTGTTTCACAAGCAACAACAGAAAATGTATTGTTCCTCAAGTTGGTCCATGCTACTGAGCCTATGAACATATCAAGACACTTGTAATTTTTATGAAAGGTACTTACTCTCACTTCCACTACAGGGTGTCCACATTTCCCACCGTATCAGCTCTGTGAGGAGAGTAGGGCCAGGGATAAATGTTGCAGTGCGATTGACCCTATGATCATGTGCTAGTGTCTCGAATGGAGTTTGCTGGCATGAAACATTTATATAGACACCCTGCTGCTCCACAATAAATGCTGCATTTGACAGATCAGTGGAGGGTGGGAAGGGTGAGTCATTTATCATAGTGAAAATGCTGCCTTGAGGCATTTCTTGCATGTTCCCACTATTGTTTGTCACATTGACAGGAAGGATTCCATCTATAATGACATAGTATAAGTACTTGGTTTAATCAGAGGATGCAAGACATACATGTTGATACTAGATGAGTGAAATGATTGTACTCAATTGTAGAAACATGTCCAATAGATGATGTTGCTGAAACAGAGCCACTTTCCAGAAGAGTTGGGAGAATTATCACTTTATCAACTGCAGGTGAGATAAAGTAAGACATAATTATTATCTTGAGATTTTTTTAAAAAATATAGCTTACGAGCATTATAAAGCAATCCATTCCACAAGGTTCTTATGTCTGATTGGACAGAGGGCTTGCTAAGGTCAAGCTCTATCCCAGTCAGCTTAACATAGACTGTGATATGACTAGGATTGAGCAGTGAGGACCATCTGATATTATGTCAATCATTGCTGATCTTCAAGTGCAGGACACGCTTGAATTACCCTGGAGTTTGTGCAAGCCCAAGCAGAAAAACGATAGCACTAGTGAACATCCATGATTTGTTATGCCAATTCAAGATGAATGATTTCTTGGATAGTCTGACTGCAAACCCAAGAGTTGAGATATGCAAAGGACGTGTCAAGGCAACCAGAATCCAGTGGGTCACTGCTTGGGTGAAAAGACTGGCACTTTGGTGAGTGCCCAGGAAGATCAGACTAGGGATGAGAGACTGACAAAGAGGAAAAGAGTGAAAGGGCAGCAGCCAGTGCTGTGAAGATGTATGTCTGGATCTGAGGATTTTCTTTGAAGTACTGCACTGCCAAGCCACCCAGGGGAATCTTTGTTCTGTGGCGAACAACAAGCAGGAAGCTGAGTGCAAGCAACATCAGTGCAAGTTGGCCGACAATGATGGTGAAGGGCCATGTCACACGGCTTAGTGTGAATAAACAGATATTAAGTAACAAAAGATCGACGGAATACTGACACGGACTAACCTGGTTCTCTGAGGTGGCAGGGCTTTTGTTTTCGTATGCAAGGCTGGAACTAGCGATTCTGTAGAAAGGGACGCAGTTCGGGTACGGCGGTAACGGTACATGGGGGGAAGAAGATGGGAAGAAAGCGTGGGGTGTGCCAATTTATGTCTGCATGCAAAGAATCCATATCGTGGCTATGTGAGTCGCCGGCACGGGTTGGTATCAGAAACCCCACTCAGACTGGCGCTCGGGAAAGTGAGAAAATCAATTCAAATTCACTATGCCCACAGCCTTCCAAGATGCCGATCATGACGATCAAGCATCGAAGCCAGTGTCCAACTGTCCACCGCCACCGCGTTTTCGATGCCCAAAGTCGGTGCCGGTGCTGTGAGCCTTGGTCGCTCTTCCTGTACTCCTGCCTGCCTGGCTGTTGGACATGCTGGTGCTGGACGCCATCAGGAGACCCGCTTGTGACCCGACAACGAGTCGAAGGACTGTCCGCTTTCCTCCCTCCTGCCACCTGGCTGCGATGTTCATGCCCCCCGCGAAGCGCCAGGTCGTTATATATCCCCGCGGTTCTGGTTGCTCGCAAACCAGCCTATCCCCAGTTGGCCGGAGTTGTCTCCGTCGGTCGCCGGCGCCGGTGCGGCAATGCGGGGTTCCGCGGCCAAGTTCCTTCTTGTGTGTGCCCGACGTGGCGGCGCAGCTGGCTCTCGTTAATTTCATGAGTAGCGGATCGATGGCTGGCGATATAAGGCATGCTGGTGAGTCGGCTGGAACTTCGACGACTGTCTTTCTAGCTTCGTGGCGCGTGGATTGATATTAGTTGAAAGGAATGTTTCCTCGCTCGAGGGGAGCGTTTCGAAGCCAAGCACAAGCATCCTGAGGCCTGAATCTGAGGATTCTGAGCGTCTGGCCGAACGCACATCTGCGATGGAAGAAGTACTGGCACCAGGGCGGCTATAATTGCGGATGTCAAGCCTTGTGATCATGCATGATCAGGCGAGGAAGTGAAGATTGGATCACGATGGAAGAAGTGTGGACTCGAATCTCCCGAAAGATGTAGCCTGAGCACTCATCGCGAGATGTTTGGACCTGCTTGCCGTCCTCTCGGCCCGGAGTCTCGTGTGAGTCGCATGCTCCGCTATGCGAAAGACAGAACAACAAACACCTATGAAATCATAATTGCCGCCGTGTCGGCTCTCGATGATTCGCGCGAGGATGTCTGGACTTTAGTTTGTGGGACCAGCGACGTATATAGAGAGTTGCTGTTCATGATCAAGGGCCAGAGTATTTGCAGCCATCGCGTCGAGCAAGAGCCTGATGACATGTTTTATATCGCGCAGGACATGAATGCAGTCTCGAGAAGCGAGGAGCCCGGCTTACGAGAGAGCTTGCGCCGGTCTACTGTCTGTAGCTCTCCAGCTAGCTATTGTGTTGTCGGGCTACCGCTGAGTGGGTGGACAAGGAGTCTTTTGAAACACGGGAATCTTGATATTGCCTATCCAGCGGGCCAGCGATGAACAACAGATTGTCAGACGTAAACAATGTCCAAGGAGACTCCAGTGGCTTACGGGGAAGAAGGGTGTGACGCCAGTGTGACACCTGATCGCTGGTGACGACGACGACGACAAACTCAACACCATCGCCATATCGCCTTCCGCAAAGCCGCTCTAGATGTTCGATATCATGCAAATCCTAAGGTTCTCATTGCCATAGACCTTTCTCGGCCCTCGTTGGTGCTGCATTCGTGGCGACCTGCGCTATATGAAGCCGCTAATAACCACCGGGATCGTTTCCCGGCGTGGACCTCCCGTGAGCAAGTATATTTTGGGGTTCTTATTTGTGTCATTGACTCCATATACTGCAGGAGCGTGTGTGTAATGCACCCATCGTCCCGTCCCGACTCCCGGGTTCTGCTCTAGCTTGAAATCCACTAGGCTCGCAACAGACGAGGCGCTTCGGGGGTTTGTGGTGCGCTATACATCTCTTCATACCTTGGCGTCCAAGCTTACGCCTGTTAGTGGCAACAACGGGTTTGCTGTTGTAGGCATCCACCAGGCCAGCGACGCCAAACATGATCCTTTCCAAACATGATCCTTTTCATATGACAATGACTATAGCTACCCATTTCTCCCCCCTCCCCCATCCTGCTGCTGGTGTCTTGCCCGCTTTCACTCGGTGGAGAAGCTACAACCTCATGAGGGTGTGTCGCATCGAATTCTAGAGTGTCGTGAACGTTGACCCTGAGCACTGTTTCTTTTTTAACAGTTTTTTTTTGCTCCCCTCCAAAACACTCTCGAAACAACAACGATCACCCTGAAACTCAAGACGTGGGACCAACAGACAACGTCCAAGATACTCGACGGATAGTCAGAGGGTACTTCATAGGTGTGTTTGTTGTTTACTACTCGTTTCCCCACTCTAATCGTTTGTCAAGGGTGCAGACAGGATTTGTGGTGGAGTCGACGGGCGTTATTTTGCTGGCTTTCGATCTTGAAGCGGGAGATGAATGAGTGGAAGACATTGTGGATTGTCAGCGGAGACAGGACGAACGTGAGGCATTTCTAGATGGGCTACATTGTCGGTTCTGACATTCTTTTCGCTCTCGATAGTATCGGGCGAGCCTAAATCGACAATAACGCTATCGTTTTCAATCAAGAGCACCTTCGTCTTGAAGCTCTGGGCCCGTTACCTGAAATAGTCTTTCGCTGAACCTCAGGCTTGACAAGGAGGGAATTCAGGCGGAAGGTGTGTTTGTAGTCTCCAAACAGCTGTTATCTGACACTCGTCTTACTACCCTCGAGCCGATTACCACCAGACAAAATATATGGATCTATTTGAAGTGGTGCCGACCACAAGGCACGTTTTTATGACCCTTGACAAAAACCGGCTAAAATTTTGCGTCCTGTAGCTTTTTCTCTTACGATATTGGTTGGATTGCGGTCGAAATGACCCGCTGTAGAGCGGTGGAGCGTGGAGAACCGTTAGACGCACTGTATAACTAAGTGCGTCACCATAATTTTCTACTTTCTATCGCCTGATTCCTGAATAGTGTTAATCGCGTCGTCGATTGCTCCTTTCTTCCACCACCAATCTCCCAGTCGATAAGACGATGTCCATATTCCTTATGTGTTGTTGTTTGTATTGCGGAAGCCTTCGATTCCAAACCGTGACCCCACCTCTTTCTCAAACGCGACGGCAACCTGCTTGAAAGCTTTCGTTTTCTCCTGCCCCCGTGGAAACAAGTCTTTCGCTCCTCAAAGTATTATCGTTCTCTGCTGGCAAGGTCGCCGCTCACTAGTTCTGAGGCAGTTCGAGCATCATCTCGGGATTGTCCAACTCACGAAGGCCCCCGCAGAAAGCCTTACCTCGCTCGTCTGCAAGTTCAAGCTAACGACGGACGTGCGCAAATCGCTTGCCGGGTTTTTCTGTGCCCATAGATGTAGCGTGTCCGGATACGAATTGGATGAAGAACAGACGAAGAAGATTCACCCTGTGGGTTCACATCGATACACAAATGGTTCTTGCTGACGGACATTGGCAGCGTCTGACGCATACGTTATTCATTGTGACCGCCGCCGCCCAGCAGCAGACCTCGCCGCGAATCCTGCTGCAGAAAAGATGGTCTTTCCCCGGCAAAACCGCGTTCCGCACAGACCCAAGAAGGGCCATCAGCAACGGAAATCTCAAATTTGTTCAGCCAGCGAATGAGCTCAAAATCATCAGCCAGCTGGGCTGGGAATCGTAGAGAAAGTCAGGTGAGACTGAGGGGGATGTTATCGACGAAAATGGGAGCAGTAAGTTGAGACAGTCATCATCGTCACTCAATGACTGACGGTTGTGGAGGTCAAGAAGCTCAAGACTTTGCGAAAACGAAGAATCTAACATAGTCCAAGCAACCGCAACGGCTCCGCTTGCTGATGGGACGTCTCGTCAACGTTGTCATGCCCAGCACCAGCAGCAAGAACAAAGCCATAGCCCAGAAGAAGGTTATCAAGCTTAGTCCAGTATTCTACGATATGTTCTACCCCATGTTGTAACCGACAAGCTGACGACCATAACCACGATTCCGATTCCGCGTTCCTTCTCGACAACACCGATGCTGAGAGTGTTTCTGGTCGGCTTCTTGGACGCTACACCATTACCACTAGCGAATTTAGCCTATGCATGTATGAGCTCGCTGCCATGGTGGAGCTTTTCCCGACAGAGAAAAGCAGAAGGAGGGAGGGAGTAAATCGTGCTGTGAGGCAAATCTATCGCATGCGCACCAGCGAGGAAAGCTATCGGAAACGCAAGTGGGGAGAGTGTGAGGAGTGAGTTTCTCTGTGAATTTGCTGCAGTTCCCTTCATGATACGAAGAATCGCTCAACTTCCACCCATCCCTTTGTCTAACAACTTGGTCGACCGTCGCTTTGTATAGGCCTCATTTCGATATGAAATATGCAGTAACGACTTGGACGCGAAAAGCGTTATAAAAAGAGGTCCGTGGTACTACTTATTCTACATGCATGTGAAATGCTTATACTAATCACTTCCTCTTAGTTGCTGCCTTCCCCTCTTGATTCCGTCTACTTGTTGTCGTCAGGCCTTGTTAAGGCCCTCCCATTTTGATCCTCAATCTGGGTGGCACCAGCAGGATCGTTGACGACACCGTTTCTTTGTTTTGAGGTGTTGTTTCCCAGCACCTCCATCGGTATCATCTCGGTCTCCGTTTGTGCTCTCCACCTCTCAACCGCCTGCATGGGGCCAGGAGAATTGTCCGCAACGTCAGTCCTCTGATTTGAGCGGTCGTTACGCACCACTGGAGTCGGTGTCAAGCCATTCTCTGGTCGTACCCTCAACCTCTCAACCACCTTGTTCACAAACGGCTTTGCCTCTCCCTTCCTTAATCTGAAGCATATCTTCCACAAAGATTTGCGACCATCATCAACAAATAACTGTACTTCAGAGTGGACCTGGGCCGCTGCTCCAGAGTTTTGGTATTCCTCAAGCGCCTGATTTAGATCTGCGTCTGTCAATGGGTGCGGGCGACCGACATGGTTAAGAGTATTGCAGAAGATGCGGTCGAGGAGGAGTATGAGGTGGATGGTATATTCAAGAAAGAAGCGGAGGGTATCAGGACTGGTGAGTGTTATTATTTGGTGGCACAGTATGATAATGGACTGCTCACATTCTATACTTGAGCCAATAGATACATTGCCCGAGCAAAAGGAAAGCACAAACAATCAGTGCAATCCACCAGTGGCTCTTATATGAGACAAAGCCCCCAACAAGAAGAGAGAAGAGAGGCTGATATCGGTCGGCAGTGTCACTAGGCTGGCTTGTAAGCTACTTCACATTGTTGTATTCATGATGCTTACGTCCATGAAGTTTTATCGGATTCTGGGTGGTGGACATTGTAGGCCGTTGACAGTTGGTAGACTTGGGAAACAAAAGGGGGAGCATCCCGTCGCTGCAAGTACTTAGCAATATTCCTATTCTTGAAGAAAGAGCTATCTCACCATACGAGGATCATCCATCTTCCAAATTCGTGTGAGGGTCCGGTGGAGTTGGTCAAGCATGTTACCCTGTGTGTGCCAGGGAATGTTACTGAATGCCCCCCGATAATAGACTGGCGTTCAATTAGTGCATGCTACCGATATTTGGCTACTCATACCATCCATCACAATTCTAGCATTGGGTGTAAGTATGTTTTACTGCCAAGTGAACTTGAGTAAGTACTGACTCGAGAGCCTTAGCGATAGTGTTCCGAAGAAAATCATAATCCGCTGATATACGGGTGCGTTCTGCCTCCCATATCATGCGTTCGACGTAGTCGTCCCCCAATTGACAAGTCGTTTCAAGTAAGCTTCTAATAACACGATTTGATTCCGGGTCCAAGGTCGCATTCTTCAGTCCTATTAACCGCATAAACAAACCGATGTCTACTGGAGGGGATATGTGTCAAACCTCCGGTACGAAAATACGAAGATATGTTCCCTAGAAATTCTGACTCTGCCGCCCGTTGTACGCTTGGTCTATGGGCATCCGTTGTTTCAGCCGAAGTGTTGGGTAAGTTCGAGTTGGCTTCTTCCCACTGTGCGACGACCACATCAGATTGGGTGAACACAATCATCTGAGGCACTACAAAGGATTAAATTCAAGAAGGGAAGCATGCAGTGCTTGGTACCCCTCTGTAACATTAAAAACTCGCGATCCGAGGCTCTCAACACACGATTATCCATAGACGAGGGTACGCCTTGAATGCAAAACCTGTTCATACGACTCAAATACTTGAGGTGACGCTCCTGGAGCTCACTCACCAGATTACATGTATCTGATTCATCAACGCCTGCCCAGCGGTATTCTCTTTCAGCAGGTGTTGCACTATCTCAATGGTCTTGACACTTGCGACATCATGGGCTTGAGATGCATCGACAGCACTGAGAAGGTCATATGATAGCTCGTGCATGACCAGTCGAGGATTTCGCATGGAGCTCCGACCTGGCGCGATCCACACGCTCTCGTTGTTGGTTGTTGTTATCTAAACGGTGCGGAATAGTGAGCCGACATGCAAAACTTATCATGATCGAGTCATGAGCGTAGATCTCACCTGAAACTCCGACTCCGGCCCCAGCGCATGATTTACAAGTGTCGTTTTCCCGGTTCCCCGCTATATGATTGCTTAGAGGGTTGCCTCAGGCTGGTACAAACATTGACAAAACTTACCTCCCCTACGACCAAAACATGCAGCCTAGTACTAGATTAGCTCGTGGACGTAATCTATATAGAGCAGACTCACTGTGGGCATTGCTCTGAGCTCCTAGAAGGGCTCCACGGAGATGTGGCCGAGTCTGCCTCTCGCATGCTCGCTGCTCGGTACTAGACGGTAGCAAGGGTTGGAAGGAGAAGAAGGATGCAGCGAGTGTGGGCGAGAGGACCCTGACAAAAGCACGCGGCATTTGATTTCCCAAGCTGTCCCCACTGTGTGCGACGTGCACGACAACAAAAGAACCAGAACAACGTGTCGGAAAGAGAGTGACATTGACACATCATAGGTTTGCCAAATTTGGAACAACGTTGTGATCGATTTCACACACTCGTCTTTGCTCTTAACCGTCATCACCGAACGCAAATTCAGACCCGTATTCGCATCACGAGCCAGCTTATTCGTCCCACTCGCCGCCCTTCAATGACAGCAGTTGGTTTCAATGAACCTATCGATTTTACCAACACCGTCATCGATTCGAGCACACGTTTTCGCCAATCCCTGAAATCACACCATCAGGAAGTGTCGATAATCTCCGGCACCACGGTCGCTCGATATCGGGTTCTTGTGGCAGGAAGACTCTGGGCAGGCAAGACGACTCTTGTTAATACACTCTGTGGCACGGCCCTTGAGGTAACAAACTGTACCTTCCATTTGATTATGCTAAATGAATCAAATCAACCATAAAGCCAGATAAAGAAGACATCGAGATGGAGGTGCCACAAGGTTCCCTGTTGTTGCACGATTCTTCAGGATTCCAGGGCGTAGGCCCAGGCTTCCGCCTTATGGAAAGGTTTCTCGCCAACCGTCGACGAGCGAGAAAGTTTTCCACACGTGTGCATGCCATTTGGTCAGCTCGTCGTTTGTTAAGTTTGAGTTGCTGAAGACAAGATGCCAGGTATTGTATATGCACCGATTCCGGAATGCATTTGTCGCCTGCCGATCAACATTTTTTCGACAACGATATCGCTCAACAAGGTCGGGGAATACCATCCAATTAATGGAAATCATTCATGTTCTTATCCTCCAATCTTAGTCCCAGTCATCGTTGTTTTCACCCGATACCGCGGCCTCGTCACCAGGGCATTCGCCGACCTCCGAATGACACTCCAACGGGCGGAGGCTATGGAACAGCGTTTTGAAAAGGCGCGGGAACTACTCCGAATTCAATTCATCGAACCACTAAACGCGCTGCGATTTCCCCCGACTGCCTACGTTAAAATCGACGGTGCGCAGTTTAATCCCCGCGACTACTTCGATCACACTCTCTTCTCAGACCTATTAGATGAGAGCACCACCTTAGAGCATCTCATTCAGACGACACTCGCGCTAATGACAGAGGACACATTAAGACCCATGGTATTGTCCGTTCGACAAAGCAATTTGGATGCTTGTATGGTAGCTGCAGTGAGCGCGTATGTCTTCGTGTTCCGATGTACCCGAATCTTAGCGTCACTGGTAGAGCCTTTGATGCGAACGAAGGCACCGGTAATAGCGGTCTCTGCCAAATCATCACTCTCAATCACCTCTGACAGACCTGCCCTTTTTTGTTTTACGCCATTATCCTCATATCTGGGTACGATGCATTCACCTCCTTGTCGCCCAGGCTAATCAGTTTTTCAGAAAGTGGGTCTATAATTCGATTATCCCGACCTTGCTCTACTGAACTTGGCTACCAGCATGAAGTGCGTCGTTCGATTTCGTTTCCCTGTCTGGCTATGAACGGGGGTTGAACAGAGCGTGAGTCGACCGCAAGTCATGGGTGCTATGCAATACTAATGCTTGAACAGTATGTGCGTTTGTTCTTCATCTTTCTGAGATACTTGCCGACCGCGCATAGGACGTGAGCGATGCCGATATCGATGCCATGCAAATTTATGCTGTCCCAGGAACCTATCGAACACATCAATACCCGGGTAAATATTACACCTTTCCTTCTAGAAATTAGTCTAATCTACGCCTTAGCACGACAACCATCTCGTATGTATTGCTCCTATGCCTGTCATTCAACTTAGTCTTTGTAGACGGGGGCACTTTCAGCATGCCATTCAAACTTATCTAGGACATTTGCCGTGAGTAACATTCGACTGTTTGAGTTGATTGTTGAGAGCTCGATAGGACACGTCGACTTACAAAAAGCGAGCTAATGCTATAGCTGGTAGAGACTCTCGCGATGCTCATCATCTAAAGCGCTTACTTATGGACTCAGCATTATGTATCTGCGTCGAGCAGACTTCCCTGGAAGCATCTGTCTCGATGACCGATTTTCCAATCGCCTTGAACAGGGCGTTGGAGGCGTATTCTGGTCAGAACTCTCCCGTGCGGGCGTCAGTAGACAAAAAGATCGCAAAATTCGCTCCCCACGACTATCGGGAGGTCCACAACCCAACCTCAGACCGCCCGACACGGCCGGCGGTGGGCAAACTGGTAGAGATAATAAAAGCACATCGGCTTCGTAGGAGATTTCATTTCATCGTCTCTTTTTGTTCTTGACACGACTAATAGGCTTGACGAAGGCATAGCCGCAGATACCCGATGGATAGACGTGGCGGAGGAGCGCTCAATGACTTGTGCTGCTCGTTTGACCAATATGTACAGTATCGTCCGATGGTACTAGTGTATTATATCAGTGTTGTTGTAAGCAAAACAAAAGCCACTGTAGCGCCTTCCGATGTACTCGCTGTCCTCATCTCCAGCCGACCCTGCCAGCGGGTTCCCGGTTATCGACAAGACTCAGAGTTGAAACTTGACTGGCTCAGGTCGTTGATAGCTTCTGAGGCTGTCTATCCGCGTGAAAAGCATATTTACATCCTTGAACTCGCATGTCTCTAGTTTATATATTGTCTAGGAAGTGATGTCAGGATATAATATGATGCGCCATCCCGCGCATCACCCCGCTCCGAGCCGTGACAGCTTCTGTCACGCTGACAAGGATTTCGTCCGGTGATGGCTACCTCGGGCAGACATGGACCCCGACCCCAACCTATGGCCAGCACAACTCTTCTTCTTCCTTTTCCTCATCGCCCCCTACACCCATGGCTGACGCCGCCCGCCTGCAGAAGCTTCTGTCGCGCATACCCCAAGTTGACGCGTCGCACGTTCAGGGCAACCTACCCACTGCGGACAAGCAGGTCATCGCGAGCATCTTCCGTTTCTTCATCACCGGTGGGGCAACGCCAAGCGCCTTTGCCCGCAGCGTTGGCGAGCGGTCGGAGGTTGTAGAGATGAATATCTTTGAGAACCCAGAGAGGGCAGAGGTCGTACTGGAGGTCGAAGTTACTCAAGGTGAGTTTTCTTTCGATGCTATTAGCGGTGGACTAATTGGGAGAAGATATGTGCAATGCGTTTGGAACGCTGCATGGGGCGTGTGGGGCGTTTCTTCTTGACCAGTGCGCCGTTCTGTCAAGCTCATCGTTTGGATTGACGACTAAATCGATATAAAGCGCTACCTTAGGTACCTTTGTCCTGCTTGGGCGTGTCAAGGCTTTCGATGGAGTCGGGATGACCACGACCATGAACCTACACTGGCATACACCCGCCACCGCGTGCGTTATATATGCATCCTTTCCCTCTCAGTTGCTAACTGTCCTAGCGGCGAGGTCATCACCATCCGTGCCTCTACGCTCTTCGTCGACCGCCGCCAACGCGGTGCCCGGGTCGCACGCTGCGAGATTCGGGAAAAAACCACAGGGAGGCTGGTTGTCAGCGGTACGACGGGCGGCGCCAACAGCGGAGGGAAGCTTTAGATGCGAGGGCGGGAGATTGGATGCTTCTCCCCACTGGCTCTTACGTTGGAATTCGAATCTGAATCACTTTCTTGAATCTGCAATACCGTTGATTCACAGACGAGCGAGCTGTGTTACCTCCCTCCACGTTTTCACCCACTTCCCTCCAAGATACCCTAAGCAAACGACTTGACTTCCTTCGTGTCAGGCCAGAGCCACGAAGAAATTCGCCGCGGCGCCCGGCAAAACAGCGGGAAAGGTACACCGTGGTGGACACCAACGGCTGACCACGCTAATCAGGCACGACGCCTAATTAACTCGCCAGCGGCAGACGGTATCAGTCAGCCTTCAAGTCCAAAACGCGTCGGCTTTCGAGAGTCGAGATCGCCAGTCTCCAGATGCTAGATGCTTGTATGTAGGTCGGCCCCGCCATTGCCCGAGAGCACCTTCTTACTCGTCGCAGGATAAGACCTTACTAGGCCTGACAGTGAATGATCTTGGGCTCAATCGGGCCAAGTTCGACGACGCAAGCCACTTCTCGTCGCGGATCAGGGCGATCGACTCCACGTTAGAGACGGTCCGTAAGTGTGTAAGGAACACCAGCGGCAGCAAGGCGGATGCCATCTATCTATCTATCTGAGCCCGCTTAACCCTCCTCATTGTTTCTTGGCAGACACGGGCCGGTCTGGAATCACGTTGGATCGCGCGGCTTGTGCAGCCCGGAACGAAATGTGTGCGTCTATTCGCGCTTTCATTATCGAGGCATGAGCTGAAGCTGGCGCTGTTTGTAACTCTCCATGTCCAGCTCATCTACGTCCCAGCTAGGCATATTTTCAGGCTCGTTTGACTCTGCTCTCATATTCGGAAATGGATCATGCGCTCCAGCTCGTCTGGGGTGGGAGCCGCACTGACAGGATGCAATTTAACACGCTAGTATGCAGAGTCTGTCGCCTGTCCGATAGACGAGCCGCTCGCTAGGCCTTCGTTCGCCGTCTGTGCTCAACGCTCGCTGCACCAATCGGGGTGTTAATCATCGCAAAACCAGAGCTGGATTCGCTATAAAAGCCCACTCAACTCGTCCAGAGAATACAGCGACAGCCACATCCTCTCGCATTCCACATCCCAAATGAAGACCTCTGCATTTTTCGCCCTCGTCGTCGCTGCAGTCGGCACCCTCGCTGCATCGGTCGCGCTGGAGGAAGCACGAGTACTTATTCTCTGCGCTTTTCTTGGATTATGCTAACATCGGCCTCAGGACGCGCCTGTGGAGAAACGCGCCAACTGCGGAAGCACAATCACGCCCATCTATCGCGCGTACAGCGCGTCTGTCCAAGACCACTTCTACACGTTCGTCTCCTCAAATTGATCCATTCATTATTACTCACATTATTCGCCAGAACGAAAGCGAGCGATGCGACCGGCGCGTCGGGCTACACCACGGAGGGTGTTGCTGCTGCGGTCTTCGGCACGCAGCAGGGCGACACGCTGCCGCTGTACCGGATGTACTCCTCTGCTGCAAAGGACCACTTCTACACGTGAGCATTTTCGTCTCCGAGTCCAAGCTGACACAAGAAAACAGCACCGACCCTGTCGAGCGGGACTACTTCCGGACGAACAACGGCTACGTGCTCGAGGGCAACGCCGCGTTCGTCTACACGACCCAGATCTGCGACTCGATCCCGCTCTATCGGCTGTATGCTGCAAACGTCAAGGACCACCTTTACACGAGTCAGTTCAAGTTACTAGGGCTGATAACCTGGCGCTGACTTGTTTTTGCAGCCTCACGCTACGAGCGCGACTCCGCGCTCGCGCTCGGGTTTTTGGACCAGGGCATCGCCGCGTACGTCCCCGGCCCGGGGGTCATCAACGCAGACATCCCGTGGTCGACTTGTAACGCACACTGAGCAATGAGCATATATAAGTAGCTCTACATTGCAAGAAATAGTATCAATTGTGTACACGAGACTCAGACGGACAATTTGAATTATACTGTCTCGGATAAAGTGCAAGAATCTGTAGAGCGATCATCTGTTGAGGGAAAGCATCTTTGAGGGAAGGCATCTACATCGAGTAAGAATTCAAGCTTATTTTCGACCTACTTATAGCTTTCTAATTGAGTTGCGTGCTGCAGCGTGCATCATGCCAATCGGACAAGCACAAAAACTTCGCGTTAATCTAAATGCATTGAGGGAGATCAGTTTAGTGCTCGTCCTAGTCCAGATATAATACAAGACCTTAGTAGTACGCATCCCACCAAACTTCAAAGTTCCCCCCGGCAGCGCTCGGGTCAGAGGAGCTTTCAAACAGTCTTAGCACCACGTCCCAATCAAGTCCCAATGTCTGCCGGAAAGGGTACCGTGCTTGACAGTGCTCGTCACGAGAACATCGATGCCGCAGCTGGCCGCTAGCGCCGCCTCATCTTCCGGCAGGCTCTGCAGGCCGACCACCCTGTCCGCTGACGCGGAGTCAGAGTCGGGCCCGGGGTCGCTCTCCGCCGGCCCGGGCCGCGACTCGTTCTCGAGCGTATTTGTGACAAAGACCGACCGGCTGGCACCGTGTGCCTCGTCTATATGCAGCCGGAACGAGCGCAGCTGCAGTGCTGCCCTCGTCCTCACGGCATCAAGGAGTGTGACGCGGCGGTGGCCCCCAAATTCCCCGCTGCGGTCGTAGACATCCAGCGCCCTGAGGTGTGGCGCGACGGTCGGCAGATTGAGTATCTCCACGAGAACGAAGAGGGATAGGCTGTTCGGGGCCTCGAGATGGATGTGCTCGATGGCGCTGAGGCTGTTCGACAGCAGGCCGCGGACATCGGCAACGGCGTCAGTGATTTCGAGTTTGGCGCCCTCCAAGTCCGAATCGTGGAAGCACAGCATGAGTGAGGTGACAACGGCGGCGGACCGGGCGACCATGGCGTGGAGCGATGCTGTCGCCTGCGGGTCCAGAACATCCAGTCGGACTTGCTGCAGGCTCGGCAAAGTGAGGTATGTGAATGTTGTTGGGGCGACGCGGACATAGGAGAGGAGGGGGGTGTGTCAACATGGGAACGTTCTTGGTGGTGGTCCATTTATACCTCAGACAGGTAAACCTTTGGAGGCTGCTGCAGCGCTGCAGGATGGCCAGGGTAGCAGCGACACGCGCGAGGCGCGTGAAATACAAGGTCGTCAGCTGCGTAAAGGGTACATCGGGGGCATGTCGCGCGGTGACAGTCACAGCGCGTACTTGGAGTTCTCGCAGTTCCGGCGCGTCCACGATTCGCAGCTGGTGTTTGAATTTGCTAAAAGAATCGGCCACCGCAATCGAAAGACGCTGCAGCATCGGAAACCGTGTTGTAGTTCCGGTCTCAGAGAATAGCTGGGCGAGTGTCTCCGTTGGCACGGTTAGGGAGACGTCCCGCCAACGCGAGACATGCGGTAGCAGCGCATCCATGTACATATCGGCCCAGACGCCGCCGGCCATGACTGAGACATGAAGCGTGAGGGGGAGGACACCGCCGCGCGCTATCCAGAGTTTCGTGAGATTAATAAGCTGGAAGCTGCGCCGCGGAAGTACAATGGTAGTCCAGAGCGGCGGAGAACGGAGGGCAATGTCACGCCAGCGCCTGCATATCTGAGCGACAAGTAGTGGCGGAAGCAGCAGGGCTGTACGCCGGTCGCTCTGTATGGGTCCAAAACCTCGGGGTAAGCGAGATGAGGCAATTCGCGGTGAGGGTCAAAACGAAGGTGTGATTGATCGGAAGAAAAATTTCCGTTCCGAAGTCGCATCCCGACTTTCCCGAAGCGGTCGTTGTCTGTCACGGTTTGTGGAATTTTTTTCTTAGTGTAGCGCCCAGATCAGCTGAGTATTAGTATTCAATACAATGAGCAATGAATGCTACAGCGATTTCCGTTTCGTTTTACAGTATCCGCGGAGACACACTACTTGTCACCAAATAATATCGTTCTACATCAAGGTCAGATAGCACAGCAATTTCGAGATCAGAGGTTCAAATCTATGTCGAGGGTGCAGCTGGCGTACTTGCCAGACCTGGTTCCCGCATAGTAAGAGACATAGCCCGGAGTCTTCTGAAACCACTCACGAAGCCGATGTGCTTTTATTATATGTATCAGTTTCGCGGTTGCCTGGCGCATTGGCCGGTCGGACGTTGGATCCGGTGTCTCCCGATAGTCTTGCGGAGACAGTTTTGCGATTTCCCTGTTTACAGAGGCCCGCACAGCAGAATTCTGGGCGAAATACGCGTCCGCCGCCAGGTTAAAGCCGTCGGAGAAGTCATCCATGGAGACAGATGCTTCTACGGCAGTCTGTTCGATGCAGATGCATAATGCTATGGCAGTCAGCGGGGCTGAGTATAGCAAGTGTGTGACCGCACTAGTAATAAGATCCGCTCGTTTTGTGTATGTCGGAGTGTCCTATTGGCGTCTCAGCGAAAACTTGAATGGTCAAAAACGAAGCTGCTGGCACAGAAATTCTTCGCGATATGCTTGACCGACATGTGGCGATTGCCCGTGTCTTGATTGAAGGGTCAAACGCAATAGGAAGGATCGATCCACTACATACGAGATAGTCGTCATTCTACAGTCTAAGTTAGACAATATTGGGCAAGAAAGTGATTGGAATTACTTACTAGGTCAACCATCGCTCGAGCGGGACCAGGCGGCTCCTAGCGGAAGATAAGTCCCTGATCGTATCAATGCCGTAGGGCTAACATCCTACGCAAAATCGGCAAGCGCAGAGGGATAATCATGAGAGGACGCACATACTGGGTGTCGTCAGCACTGGAGCCCGTGACATTGGTAGACTTACTGTCTGTGCAACACCATTTCACCGTCATGTCAGTCAACGCAAACGAACGACGCACTTCATTCTGGTTTTGGACTTCAGCAGAAGCGACGAGACGGTGGAGGTTATGGACTGACTTTCTGGGAGAGCAAATTAGGGAAAGATATCAAGCCGAAGCGGATGCATCGCGTACCCAAATATGAGGATAATGCCGCAGAACACAAGACGTGATATCTGCCAAGAGGTGAATAGGAGTAAGTATTAAGAACACAGTGTTGGTACCGGAGCCTTCTTTTGCATCGAAAGCTCTACCAGTTACGGTGAGTGTCAGGTATATCATATAGACAAGAACATACGCGCCAACCGCGGCTTCCATACAAGGATCCAGGTTGGTTTGTCGAACGGACAAGACCATGGGTCTTAGAGTTTCTCCCGTCATGAGCGCGAGCGTCGTCTGGATGAGATGCTCCAAAGTGGTTGTCTCGTCCAATAGATCTGCAATAATCGTCTAATTGCAGGAACCGGGGAAATTAAACAACCCACCATCTATCTGGACAAAGGCCGTCGGAGGGTAGCGAAGTTTCTGTAATGGAGCCACGTATTCAAGCTGGAGTAGTTCTCGAGCCTTTTCAAAGCGTTTTTCTTTGGCCTCCACCCGTCTCAATGTCATTCGGAGGTCCGCATATGCACTGGTGACAAGCCCGCGGTATCGCGTGAAAACAGCAATAACTGGGACTGACATCGAGGAATTTAATAAAAACTCAAAAAAAGTACTGTTCCCGGACCTTGTTGGGCGATATCGTTGTCGAAGAAATGCAAGTCGCCTGGGGCTAAATGCATTCCAGAATCAGTGCATATGCAATACCTAGTATTGATTTTTCAGCAAGTCGGGTTACGAGCTGTACATAAAGAGCCCACCATATCGCGTGAACACGCTCCGCAAATGTTCTCGCCAACCCACGTTTGTCGAGAAAGGTCTTGACTAGTCGGATATTGTAGCTCACTCCTTGATACCCCGCAGAGTCATGAAGCAAGAGACGTTCGTGTGAGAACTCCCTCTCGATGTCCTCTTGACCGGACTTGAAAGTTGTCTTTGCTCAGCCCGCCCATATTGAAATATCCAGCGCTTACCTCGCAAGTTGTGCCACATAGAGTATTAATGAGAGTCGTCTTCCCTGCTTGCAGTCTTCCGGCCACTAGAACCCGATATTTGGCAACCTCGGCACCAGAGATTTTCGACGCTTCTTCGCGGCGTGATTCCGGAGTTAGGCGAAAATCTGTCCGCGGATGGATGACAGTGCTAGCAAAGACGACATTCGCATCTAATGGAGTCGGGCTCATGGCAGCCTGAGAGCGGGTGGAAAGGGAGGGAGGTGGGTGGACGCGACAGAGAAAAGTCTCAACTCCTGCTCGGTGATGAAGGTTGAGAGCAAAGGTTAGCGTGGGAAATCGATCATCCAAATTCAGGACAACGGCACATGATGCGTGACATGGCCAGCGATCTTTCCCTTGACGACTCGGACACGGGCCGAATCCGACACGTTGTTCTCGTTCTTTTGTTCGCGGTGTGGACGATGTCGCATACACTACTAGGACAGCTTGGGAAAAGAATTACCGCGTGTATTTGTTACCGTCGACGTACCGCCCACACACTGCTCATCCTTTCCCTCTTGCCAACTGCTTGTGACGAGAATGCGAGAAAACGACTCTGTCGGACATGGCGATGCTTGGAGCCGCTCTAGGAGCGCGGAACAATGTCCACAGTAAGGCTTTCTGTGATACGAGCTGGCCCAAAAGCTGATCTTCCTCGCAGGTTACATATTTTGGTTGTCGGTGTTGTAAGCTCCGTCGATGTTCGTACCGGACCAGTACATGATCAGTCATATAGCAGGGGGTTGGGAAAACAACACTCGTGGACCATGCCCTCGGACCAGCGTCTGAGTTTCAGGTAAGGTGCAAACTGTATTCAACTCAACTGAAGTGACGTCGACCTTCTAGATAACGGTCAATAACGAGCCTGAGTGGATAGGGCCAGGTCGGGGCTCTATGCGTAATCCCCGCCTTGTGTTCCATGAACTGTCCTATATCCTTCCTGGCGGTCTCAATGAAGCGAGGCCAGTCGAGGTCATAAATCTGAAAACGGTCGAGATAGTACAACGATTACTACAGGAAAACATTAATGGGCAATCTCTCATGAACCAGATACATGTCATTTGGTGAGTGATATCTAAAGCATTCGTCGATATCATCTTTGTTTACCTCTTTGGGGAACAGGTTTTGCGTTCGAATTCCATCCGGAAATGCCCCAGTGCTTACGGGTCCCGATCACGAACTCTTGGCCTCACATCATGGTACGCTTGAAGCTATCGTGTCATTGGGGAGTCTCTGACCGCTCGCTATCTACAGTGCCTAGAATACTCATTTTCCCCAGATATGACCTTACCGTCGCGCAATTCGATGAGGAATTAAGTTTGCCTGACAATATTTCGGATGAAACGGCAGAGCGTCTAACAGTGCAACGAGCGGAGGCGCACTTCCAAGATGTCTGTCGTTCCCAAGTGGCTAATTTGGACATGATATCAGCGCATACTCGTACCGGGGGTCTGTATTTATCTCTGCCCAGTCGTCATTGTTCTCAATCTTAGCATTATAGGACTGAAAGGTGCAGTGCTAGATGCGGAATCCGATCGTACTATTAGAGGACTGCTTGAAACAACTTGTCTACTTGGGAATGAGTACATCGAACGCAAGCTCTGGGAGGTAGAACGCACGCGCCTGGATAGTCCTCGGAAAACAATTACGGAGGCTCTCAAGTCAGTGTTCATTTTGGTCCTGCGGTAGAGCGACTCACACCCAATCCCAGAATTGTGATGAATGGTATGAACGGCCCAATTTGATTAACAATGCTAAACATATACCAGTCTATTACCCGGGGGCGTTCAGTAACATTCCCTGGCACACACAGGGTAACATGCTTGACCAACTCCACCGGACCCTCACACGAATTTGGAAGATGGATGATCCTCGTATGGTGAGATATATAGCTCTTTCTTCAAGAATAGGAATATTAATAAGTACTTGCAGCGACGAGATGCTCCCCCTTTTGTTTCTCAAGTGCATGAACTGTCAACGGCCTACAATGTCCACCACCCGGGAATCCGACAAATCTTCATTGGCGTAAGCATGAGTACAACAATGTGAAGCAGCTTACAAGCCAGCCTAGTGACACTGCCGACCGATATCAGCCTCTCTTCTCACTTCTTGTTGGGGGCTTTGTCTCATATAAGAGCCACTGGTGGATTGCACTGATCGTTTGTGCTTTTCTTTTGCTCGGGCAATGTATCTATTGGCTCAAGTATAGAATGTGAGCAGTCCATTATCATACTGTGCCACCAAATAATAACACTCACCAGTCCTGATACCCTCCGCTTCTTTCTTGAATATACCATCCACCTCATACTCCTCCTCGACCGCATCTTCTGCAATACTCTTAACCACGTTGGTCGCCCGCACCCATTGACAGATGCGGATCTAAATCAGGCGCTTGAGGAATACCAAAACTCTGGAGCAGCGGCCCAGGTTCACTCCGAAGTACAGTTGTTTGTTGATGATGGTCGCAAATCTTTGTGGAAGATATGCTTCAGATTAAGGAAGGGAGAGGCAAAGCCGTTTGTGAACAAGGTGGTTGAGAGGTTGAGGGTACGACCAGGGAATGGCTTGACACCGACTCCAGTGGTTCGTAACGACCGCTCAGATCAGAGGACTGATGTTGTGGACAATTCTCCTGGCCCCATGCAGGCAATTGAGAGGTGGAGGGCACACGCGGAGAATGAGATGATACTGATGGAGGTGCTGGGCAACAACTCCTCGAATCAAAGAAACGGTGTCGTCGACAATCCTGCTGGCGCCACCCAGATCGAGGATCAAAATGGGAGGACTTGACAACCTCTGACGACAACAGGTAGACGGAATCAAGAGGGAAAAGCGGCAACTGGTAAGAAGTCATTAGCATAAACATATATTGCATAGTATCACGGACCTGTTTATAACGCTTTTCGCGTCGTTATTAATGCCTCGAGGAACATATAATTTGGCGTTTGAAGGGACCATGAAGACGATAGCGTTGTGGTTAGGTCAGGCTGGCCCAATACTGTCAAAAGCGAAACGAAGGTCAGAATGAGCAAAAATCGGTCAGCGTAGCAGCCGCACCTCAAGATATGCTGCACATTTCCCTCGTTGCATGTCCTTCCTCCGCCGATAATTCACTCTATCTCCCGCTCCTTCCTCTCCTCCGTCAAGGTCAAAGGCCAGCAAAATCATGACGCCGACTCCACAAACGACTATAGCAGCAGGCTATTCGGAGGGAGAAAACGTCCAAAGAAAAGTCACTAGCAGGATAGAATCCTGTATACACTTTGAGAAACGAAACGAGTGGCAAACGGCAAACACACCCATAGAGGCCACAAGGAGGACCCTATAATTGTTCCTCGGGTATATTGAGCGTCATTCGTTCTCTCAAGGCCTTGGGATTCAACGAGACCGTTGTTGTTTCAAATGTTTTTGGAGAGGGTAGGAAAAGAACTGTAGAAAGAGATGGCGATTGTGGTCAACATTCCCAACGCTCCAGCATTCGATGCAACACACCTTTATCCGTTTCGAGCTACATACTCAGCGATCCTGGCTAATGGTTGTCGGCCCTCTGTGTGCCTTTTAGGGCTAGGACAAAACAACGAGCTGAGTTCCGTCCAAGCGTTGTTTTCTCCTGGGCCGAGCAGAATACGAGCGGAAGTAGGTGGGCTTAATAGGTAGTCGTTATGGCAGGAAAAAGGTCGCGTTTGGCGTTGCCCACTGGCCACGCGAATACCGACGACAGTAAACCTGTTCATTACTAACAGGCATGAGCTTGGACGGCAAGGTATGAAGAAGCGCGTAGACACACCATGGATCCCCAAAGCGCCTGGTAGCGAGCTGATTGAAAAACCGTCTTCATCAGAAAGCTGGGGCAAAACCAAGGCCGAACCCGGACGACACGATGGGTGCAGCGTACTGTACAAGCGCTCCTGTAATATATCGAGTCAACAAGACGAATATGGACCCCAAATAGAGTTGCTAACGAGAGGGTACAGTACACGCTGGGAAAGGATCCACGGCGGCATTGTTGATATGGCGCAAGGTGCCGCCATTGCAGCGCCAACAACAACTGAGAATGGTCCACTAGAATTGATTTCCTGGCAGGCGCATGATATTCAACATCCAGGGTGGGTTTGTGGAAGGCGATACGGTAATGGTGTTGACTTCGTCGTCGTCGTCGCCAATGGTCAAGGTGTCACACTGGCGTCACACCTTTTCGGACTCTCCTTTGACGTTTACATCTAACAATCTTTTGCGAGTGAGGGACAACTGTAGCCACTGTGACTGTTGTAGCGCGTTGGACGTCCCAACTTGAGTGTCGCTCGCAATGGACACCACGAGAGCATTCCCGCCAGAAGTCCTCTCCCTGATTCTTGGGCATTGTATCCCGCTGCACCCACAGACCGGCTCGTCGTGGCACCTACCACTTGTCCTCTCCCAAATCTGCCGGCGCTGGCGCGACATTGCTATCCACTCCCCGAAGCTCTGGACCGTCATTATGCTGCGCTTCTCTTGGAGCGCCAAAAGGATTGAACTTATGAGGCTGTGGCTCGCGCGGGCGGGGGCCCTGCCTCTTACACTCCATGTCTGGGCGATGGATAAAGTGCGGGCGGGAGGCGTATATGGCGGAGCTGTTGCCGTATGCTTCCCGGTGGCGGGATGTTTCACTGATGTTACCGTTGCAAAGCATGATGCAGTTGCTTTCGAGTGGAATGTTTCCGATGCTGCAGACACTGTCGATAGGGATATCGAGCATGTCGACGAGTGGCGAACGACGTCTGCGCCTTTTGGATTTGCCCGAATTGCGGTCCCTTCGGGTGCGCTCAGCCCTGATCCCCGCTCGGTGCCCTCTGGATCCGCCTTCAAGTTTTGCGCAGCTAACGAGCTTGTACTTCCAGCACCTCACCAGCGTGACTGCCGCCCTGGATTTCTTGCAGCTCTGCAGCAGCCTTCAACAGTTCACCTGTATAAACTATCCAAGCGACTCATTTGGCGACGCGACCATTTTCCCGGCTGGGATATTCACACACACATGCCTCACATACATTCGTGTCCCCCTAGAGACGCTCGAATATCTCACTCACTCCGGAGTTTAGCGGGATTTTTACTCCCAAAAGTTGATTCAAAAAGTACTACTTTTTGCATAAAAATCTATATCACAGAAAACAAATGGTTTCCGCAAAGGGAACCAGTTGGAAGAAAGTTTTCCCTTTGTGGAAACTATTTGTTTTTTGTAAAAATATTTTTTGTATGAAAACTAGTCCTTTTTGAATCAACTTTTGGGAGTCAAAAACACGGTAAACTCCGGAGTGACTTTGCCGCGCCTGCAGCAAGTTGCGCTCGAGACTTCAATGGCTTCGCTGGCTATAGCACCTCTCCAGGCGCTGGTTGTGCGGTCCAATGCCGCTGTCACGTCCCTCGTGTTGTTTCTCCCCGCCGAGCTCGACCCTTTTGGCGTGCTGAACCTGCATGGCCTCCTGTCAGACAGTTTACGCACCGTCGAGCATATCCACCTCGAAGCCTACAGCTCCACGCCGCTCCTTGCGCTTTCGCACACGCTTGGCATGATGCCTTATGGCCGCGCCGCGTTTGCGGCATCTTGATATTCACGACCATAGTGGCAAGGACCATCGGGCAATAATCTTTGATATTGTGGAGGCGCGGGCCGCGCAGCAACTTTGCTCGTTCCGGCTGCATATCGATTCCACCCGGAAAGGTTCCGTAACGGCCCTTGGGCAACACAACAACGCCGACACCCTGCCCGTGGAGGTGGTTGGCCTCCAGAACCTCCCGACGCCAGAGTCTGCTCGGCTGCACGCGCTTGTAGCCGCTTGGGGCTTGGATGTGCTTGTCACGAGTGTTGCATACTACCATACAGAACGCCGCGGAAGCTGGGACGAGTTGCACACGCTATTCGGAATGGCCGCTGAGGCGGGGGCTCTACTGGTGGAATGAGTATTAGTCCACTGATCAATGTGGGTGATGATTGTATTTCGACCTCCGAGTGAGGCTTGAGTGTATTCATTTTGATTTGTCTATGCCATCGTTGAAAGTTGATCATGAAACACAAGAAATAGAACTATAGAAGCCAAGGTGCACAAAAGTTAGTTAATAAAAGTACTGGTACTTTTAAACAATTTTTATTCTGCCAAAAATAAGCGGTTTTTGCAAGAGAAGAGTTGGTATAAGAAACTAAGAGATTTGTGATGATTGTCCGAGTCATTTTCAGAAGATTTAAAGTTGGCACCCTGGACTTGAAAAAAAACAACTTTTCCTACCCTTCAGTAATTCTTTGATTTCTCTGCATGTCTAAATATAGAGACCCAGTTTGAGAACCTAAATTATTATTTTGATACAAAAATTTTATTGACCCTCTAGAGCCATCAAAATTCCATATATAGACATTGCATTATCCACTGACAAAACAACAGATTGCAATAGGCCCGTGACCAGTTGGCTGAAATGTTCAATTGATGAAATCTTCCCAATTGGGATGCTTTAGGACAAAAGAAATTGGCTGTGACCTGTGACCTGCCTAAATATTTCGGCCAAAAAATCTGATGTGACTGTGACCCACAGAATTTAATAAAATGGGTCAGTACTTATGTATTACAGAGGGATTTATTTAGATGGGGCACAAAGAAAATGACAGTTTTGATGTTCTTGTATTGTACCACATTAGGTAAGCCACGGTGTCTTATACACTCCTGATAGACTTCAGGAAGAAGTAAGGTATTTGATATCCATGCTCGACAGACATCACATTGAATTTCCTGTTTAGGGTGATAGGCTTGTTTTTGCAATAATTTTTTTCAATGAAACTGTCTGTAAAGCCAGTTAAGCAAATAAGAGTACTACAGGGAGGTTCTGCAATGGTCCTTAGGGAACACAACAACTCCGAGTCGGACACAGCCCTGCCTGTGGGGGTGGTTGGCCTTCAGAACCTCCTGACATCGGAGACCGCGCGGCTGCAAGCGCTTGTGGCCACTTGGGGCTTGGATGTGCTTGTCACGAGTATTGCATACTACCACACTGCACGACGCAGAAGCTGGGACATGGTGCACACACTATTTGGGATGGCCGCTGAGGCAGGGC